TTCCATCTGGGAACTTAACACATTTTTAGGAAACAATACCACAGATTGAGAAAAAGATTGATAAACACATGCTAAGAACAGTCGATTAATCACATCATTGTTTCTTATTACACTCCAGTCAACAATTAGTTGCTAACCTAAGTGGTGGCGGATCAAGCCTAGGAAGCTGATTATGCAGCTGCAACTAATCAAAATACTAGGGGTTCCTTAACACCTAAGCATAAGTTTAAATGTTTAAGTGGCCTTAAACAGGGATTTGTGCAAAAGGAGGAATCTTCATTTTGGGGTTCAACATCACAATTTCGGAAAACACTATCAGATTCGAGCATAAACATTAAACAGCAGCACGAAAGGACACAAATAATTGACGAATAAGAATAAAGGATAAGACGAACCACGATAATCGACGCCAGAATTTAATTTGACGACAACAGGTCTACCCCGAATGGATTTGAGAAAATCGGCTGGGGTTTTGGTTGTTGATGACCCTTTCTCTCCGGCTACGGCTCCTGCTCCACTCATGATTGTATTGATCGACTCTGTGCGACTTGGAATCAATGGAGTTCCGGTAGACGAGAAAAAGCCGAGGGTGCGATTAATGGCCGAACAGTGAGCAGATTTTTAGGGTTTTGAAGAGAAAGCGAGTGATGGAAGGGGTGCAGAAGGAAACGGTGTGCTTTACGAAGGGTGTTTGGGATTATTTATTTTAAAAGATTAACATAGAAAAAAAATGCGAAAATGATCCTATAATTGTAAAAATAATAATAAATAAAAAAATAAAAAAATAAAAAAATAAAAAACACTATGGTTTTAATCTAAAAATATAAGGTGTATTGGTGGTGCAGTTTTGAATATTTTGTATGATCTTTTGTCTTTAGGAAGGTCAAACTGGCTCGGGGCGATCTTATTTGAGTTGGCGGTATTGGTGGTACTGCCAAGGGAGATCATAACGAGCGAAAATCAGTTTCACAGTTTAATGATCAGGCGGTTTGTAGATTTTTTTGCCTAATGTCTTCTTCCACCTTCGACTGGTCACGAGTCACAATAATTATTATTTTTTTAATTTATATATATAAAGGTTAAGGGATATAAGCTTAGGTATCCAAAGTTAATGTAATATCTCATTTTGTTTGATATATTCATTATAATATTATTAAACTTCCAGCTCTAACTTAATTTACTTTCAAGATTTTTGAAATTTCATTATTATATTCATCTTACATCACATTTTTTTACTGAATACCTACTAACTATATATATTATAATTGAAAATGAAAATTATATAAGATGACGATAAATGTGAAATTTATAAAAATGTTATAAATAAATAAAGTTAAAAGTTGAATTATAAGAACATTAGACAATTACAATGTCTATATGATACAAGAAAACGTAGTATAGTGAATTCGGATACCTAATCTAATATACCCTTAAAGGTATATTCAATTCTCTCTCTCTCTCTCACTCTCTCTCTCTCTCTCTCACACACACACACACACACATATATATATATAAATATATATATATATATATATATATATATATATATATATATATATATATATATATATATATCTTTACTACTTATAAAAGAAATCTAACTATTTCTATAAATAGATTGAATATAATAATATTATTTTTTAAGACGTCCAAACTATTAAGCTTGAAGTACAACCCATTTATAATATAATAATATTAAAACTTTAACCTTATCCTTTATCCCCTAAAAATCTCGTATCAAATTAATAGAAAAATTCATTTGCAAATTGAACCCGTCAATCTCAACACTTCAGCCATTTGAAGCGGTCAATGTCAACAATTTATAGAGGATCTTTTTTCTTACATTGGTAACAAGCCATCTCATAATATTTATCTTCGTAATCCCTTCAAAGTAAGAAATATACGTACACTCTCTCGAAGAACCTTAAACAGTAACCAAGACAGTATAACCACCACCACCACAGCCGCTCTGCCTCCTTCCGCCTTCAACCAACCACTATCACGACTACCGTCATTCCTCTCACCCACGGCATGAACTTTCTTTTGGAACATAACATTTTTCTTTAAAAAAATGTCAACAATTTATAGAGGATCTTTTTTCTCACATTGGTAACAAGCCATCTCATAATATTTATCTTCGTAATCCCTTCAAAGTAAGAAATATACGTACACTCTCTCGAAGAACCTTAAACAGTAACCAAGACAGTATAACCACCACCACCACAGCCGCTCTGCCTCCTTCCGCCTTCAACCAACCACTATCACGACTACCGCCATTCCTCTCATCCACGGCATGAACTTTCTTTTGGAACATAACATTTTTCTTTAAAAAAATATCGTTGAAAGAAGCTATTTGTCCCCGCTGCTGTGCGCGGGTAACGGCTAGTATATATATATATATATATATATATATATATATATATATATATATTATATATATATATATATATATATATATATATATATATACCTCCTTATTTTATTTCTATTTCATTCTATCTCTATTCCATTCTATTTACTCTCATTTCCAACATTTTTCAAATCCATTTGTTTTCTCTAGTTTCTCTAGAAAATGTATTCAAACATTCGAAAAATAGTAATGGAAAATTGTGCAAACGATTCATCTTCATCTAATGATGAAACTAACAACACTAATTCATTTGTTGTATTATCTCGTTATACACAACTTCTGTTTTAGAATAATGTTGGTTCAAACAAAATTGATATGAGAAGGTCAATCAATAAAGATTGTATAAAAGCAGAACAACTACTAATCAGATATTACTTTATTGGTGATTCAAGCTTTCAGAACGAGCAATTCCGTCGAAGGTTCCATTGCTAGATCATTAGTTAACTGTTAAAATCTCAAATGGATACAACTCTAGGGTTTATTCTTATATGATTCAAATCAGCTCTATCATTATCCAAGGATGCTCAAAATCGTCCATACCTAGGCTTCTTGAAGCTTTTGGAATATTCCAATTAATCCTTGTGATTAATTAATATTCAACATTTTTTAATTAAGTAAATCCTTTTAATTAATTTACCAAAATAATTTCTAATAAATTTATTAATTCCTTAATAAAGTAACACATAATTAAACTCATTTCCTTATGCTATTTAGGCCATAAGATCAACCCAAAGGACTCTATTATTATTATAAATATTATCAAAACAATTAATGTGATTTGACACCATTTCCAACCGATGTAAATGTCAATACGAGGTTGGAGGTTACACGATGAAAAGAGATTGTGGTGATGATGTTTCTTGATATGGAAAGAAATCGTGATTTGTAGTTCCACCACTTTCATGTCGCATCATTACCAAAAATAGCATTCTTAATTTCTCTTGTCACCACTCGATAGAAACTATCAAGCTGTTATATTTTAAATGATGATATTTTACGTTTATCCATCTCAATTGAGTTTGATAATCGACTATTATTGGAATGGATGTAGCAAGAAGGTTCTTAACTTGCCATACTCCACAGCTACATCTTCATGAAAGAGTAATACCATTTAGTACTATACATAACAGTGTGAGTGTGGCAAGTTAAGGGCCTTACAAGTGTACAAAATGTTCATAATCATATCATGTTTAGTTATTATGAAGTTTGCTAGAATAAAAGCATCTTGGCACATAACATTTACCATGTGATGTAACATTGAGAATAAAGAAAGATTTTGATCTAAACGTCCTTCAAGCCTCAACGATGAAAAAATACAAGAGTTTGGAATTAACTATTTAGTTATTTATATTTTTATCTTATTAAATTTATTTAAATAATAATTTAGATAAATATCATATTTTAAACAGGGGCGGATTTAGGGGGTCCAGGGTGGCACCAGCAACCTCTGACTTTTCCAGCTGCAGTGTAAAATTTTCAAAATTTTTATTTTTTCTACTATCATGCTTTCATATGCAACCTCTTCTATAAAATCTTGCTTCCGTCTCTGATTTTAAAAGTTTATAAAGAACATAGATTATATTTGAAACGTAGATCTATAAAAGATGTACGATAATCGAGTGATAAAAATAAAGTTTTATAATGATTATAAATGTTTGAAAACAATTATTTGGGTGAATCTTATATTTTGAAAGTTTATGAAAGGTAATATAATATTTAGAAATTAAGTTGGGTAAATATGATATTTTGATGTTTAAGAAGAAAATATACAAAATAAAAAAGATAGATTTTTCATTTATTATATATCAAGATTATAAAATTCGTTAGGTGGCAATCAATCGGTCGATTGTTGTCAGTCGGACTAATCGGTATAAGCGATAATTAATCGGAGACCTTAAAGTATAAATAAATCTATTAATAAAACAAATATAGCTAATATCCTAATAAAATAAGTAAAAAAATATACAAAAAAAGTATTATTTTATTGTTTTACCCACAGCTTTAACCAATTTTTAAATGTCTAGACTGACTTTCTAGACTAATTTTTTAGCACTAGACCGATTTTTGATCAAGATTACCACAAATCCTACTAGATGAATGGTCTCTAAATCATCTAGACGATGATCAATCAGCTGCCTAGATATGTTTTACGACACGGCTATATATACTCTCCCTCCCTTCCGAAAGAGGAGGGAGGGGTGAGGCCATTTCATTTTTTCAGAACAAATATATTAAAAAGTTATATAAGAAATAGAGGACTCAAAGTAAAAAAGAAAAAAGAGATTGATGAAGCGGGGGATGCAATTCTTAGATAACCACAACCATTTTGTAATCGAGTCTATTTCAAATCCTAATATAACTAAGTACAATAAAGATTTAAAATCACTCCAATTCCAAATATTACAAGTAAAACAAACCCAAACGCACATTACAACTTCAATTTGGTCTAAAAAGATTATTGATTTTGTTGTTGGAAAGAAAAAAAATGACTCAATATTCAATTAATGACCAAATGTTACTATAAAATTGTATGTAAAACTAGAAGTTGATTTCTAAAGAGTAAAGACCAAAAGACCAGTGAAATCGTATGCTTTAACGAACCCAACACTATTTATTAACTTATAAACCATATATTCACATTTTGCCATCATTATTATATTAATATATAATTTTCCAAAACAAAAACCGCTATATTTGTTATAAACATAGTAACAAGAAAACCATATGGAACTCAAGCGCGCTTCTTGGCCCGACCACTCGAACTAGCCATATCTTCTCTCTTCGGACCAGACTCCCCGGGCTTCTTTGCCCAGGCTGGAGTCTGGTCCGGAGCATAATGATAGTCATAGAACACCTCTTCCCCGGCCCATATTTTTTCCTTAGCAAATATACCCACCCTATGATCTCCACCCACCATAATTACCTAAAAAGACCAAAAAGATCAAATTACATTTTTGGTCCTCAATTTTGTCCAAATTTTGCAATTTTGGTCCCTATAGGCACCAAAACTTAAATTTTTGGACAAACTTGAGGACCAAAAATGTAACTTATTTATATACCTTTGCGTAACAATTTGGATTTGGAGAATGATTGGCAAACTTCAATTTGTCACCCTTACGGAAAGCATCAAGAACATACTACATACACGATATAATTTTTTTATTTTGTTAAAAGAATAATTAATACATAAAGCAGTTTAAAAAAAAAAAAACAAATAATGTATCTTATCTTACTTGATCATTAAGGTTGAAGAGAAACGAAGAATTTTCACGATCATATATTTTTCCACGTTTGTCAGCTTCATGATGTGAGATCAATTCTCCCGTGTATTCACCCAAATATTCATGTTTAGCTACACTATTCTGTAAGTGGAAATAAAAAACGAATAATTTCATATGGAGAAAAGAATAACAACGAGAGAAGGATAATACGGTAATTTCACCTACCCTTAAGAAAGCCCCCCAGCCCGACACGTCAGATCTTCCTAGCAAAACCTGTGTCGCATCAAAACTTTAATTCTTTTAATTTTCACTAAACCACTTGAAGTAAACCGTAAAAGTGAAGACAAATTTACGGTTTTACCCTTTGTTGTTGTTTGAGGAGAAGCTTCATGTTCCTGCATTCGTAGTTATCACCCTTTTGACCAGGGGTTCCAAGACTTCCATCACCACAGCTACAAATTCAATTACTTTACTTTTTACTTTTTACTTTTTACCCATGCCATAATATTTATTTACATATAAATAGCAACATATTTAATTTTTGGGCTAATTATCTCTCTCACCTAATCCAACAATGTCGACATACATCTGGATCACATTCTCTATTAGCAGCAAAACACGGGCACTGACGACTTCTACATTGGTTTTTCGCACAATGGCATCCCCGAAAACGATTTTTGCAGGTTTTCGGGCAACTAATAAAAATAAAAATAAAAATCGTTAAACAAACCAAGAAAAATAAACAAGAGAGTATTATACATTTTTGGTCCAAAAATTGTTAAACCTAAAATAAGGACCAAAACTGCAAGAAAAAACTTATCTGGACCAAAATTGAAAAAATCAACTATATCCAGGGACCAAAAGTGTAACTTTATAAGATGGGCTTACCCGCAGTATTTTTCACAAGTGGTCTCATTTGCAAGGCAAGAACAGTTGTCGCCACATGTCGATTGACACCCACATGGATTATACTGCCGACATGGCAAATCTTGTTTATCTGAAATACGTTTCCTCATTGAATGGGTCCCACCTGACTTCCACGTGTACTTGAAACGCCGGATTCTACCTCTTCTACGTAACAATCTTGATCTTTTTATCTGTGTCAATTGTCAAACCCTAGTGAATAATTAATTAATTAAACTGAAAACACAAATTGAAAAATAAAAAACTAAAGATAGGTTTTACTGACCATATTATTATTATTATTACTTTCAACCTTGCAGCTGTCACTTTGAGAATTTGTGATATTGTTCACTTGAGAAGATAAGTTATTGTTGTAACATTTGAGGACATTAAAAACCTCTGTACATGTCTTTAAACCACACAAAAGATTCCTAGCTATCAGACAGCTGTAATAATAACAGATCATGAATTACAAAATCAGAGAATGAGAAAATATATATTTTTTGATGGAAATAATGAGAGCAGATTACTATTATTATTATTATATTACCTGTTTCTACCGAAAATCTCCAGACCCTTTTCGAAAAGAGATTTTTCAATAGTTCGCCAGTATTTATAATCTTTATGTGAATTAGATGGAAAATCTGTATCTTTTGAGCCATGATTGGGGGTACTTTTGGTATTTCTTTGAAGAGTTACATGTTGTCTAATGTTATATGGTGATGAGAGTTTATTTGTGTGTTGAGTATCGAGCTCCATAGGAGATGTTGCTGGATTGACCTCTATGTTTTGGACCTAAAGACAAGAGTAGAATAACTGAATAAATGTTTTTTGGTGAAATGGTGAATTAAAAATATATATATATACATGTGTAAGTTTAAAAAATGGGGAGAAATAACAATTACCTTGAGATAACAATGTGGGCCACATGGGACATTTTCATCATCTTTAGTGTTCCATGTATAGTTCTTTTCAGCCTAGTTAGAATATTTGAAGTTAAGATAATTAGTCATGAGATTCATGTGAATATGTCTGAATAAACAAAGGTTTTAACTTACAGGAAATATAAGCTCCTGTGAACATCCATGTAATTTACAGTCAAATATCTGTTGATACAAAGATAAATGAATCACATGTTACAAAAACTATAACACCAAAACCAACAACATAAATCAAATCATAACAAAACTTACAAGGCATCTGCGACAAAATAGGTTGTCTAATGAATCCTGAGCTGCTTCAAGATCTTTATCAAGAAATGAATTCAAATTGAAGTCTGTATCCTCGTATTTATTCTCTCTACTAACAAGAGCTTCATATCTTGTCTGTTATAAGATATTTGATGATATTTCACTATCTTAAAGATTCAAAAATCAAATGGAAATAAAAAACAAAATAGAAGAGAAGAGAAAAGAAGATATAAAGAGGAAAAAAAAAATCAGGGGTAAGAATGTCATTTCCAGTAAGTGCTTGCCTTCACTTCGCAGGGTTTTCTAGACAAACGTTGAGCCAGTAAATCCAAGACAGTGTCAGATGATCCAAGTTGTTCGATAGTCATTCTGGAAAATGAAAAATTAAATCATGTGAAAGTTGAAAAAAATAAGAATATGTAGCAAGTGAAACACAAAAACACATAAATTTGAAATATACAAACCGGATGATGTTATCTTCAGATTCAACAAACTCTTTCTTGTCCTCTTCATCATCAACAACTTCTTCCTCACTGTCACTGCAGATTAAAGCTTCACCTCCATTTCTGTCATAATAAATTCTCCTTCTACCCACTACAGATTGATCTTCTGTCATTCTTCTATTTCTGCATTTGTGTTCAATAAATTAAATACAATAAGTCAATAAGCAATATTCACTTAGAATATTTCTGCAACACACCTATCCATGAAAACCCATGTGGTATATGGAGGAAGTTTCTCCATTTCTGGAAGATTGATGGGCCTAACAGAATTCTTGACTGGAATCCCGGATCCAAGGAGAACAACAGAAACATGTTCATCTTCTTCAGAGCTGATGTCAACACCATCTTGCATATCGATTGCATCTTTCTGTCTCTTTTCCAATAAATTGATGATGTTGTCTCCATTTATAATCCTAAGGTTTCTTCTTTCTACAGACAACCTGTGATGATTCTTGGTAATTTCAGCCAGTTTAATCTGGTTCTCTTTCATTCTTTTCTGCAAGAGTTACAATAAAGAACCATGAGATCAAGTTTGTTACAGAAATAGGAAAGTGTGTTGTGACAGTATAGCTGGTGTAAGACTGTTACCATGATATAAACACAACGATCAGCATCAACTTTCTTCTTCACCGAGTCAATAACCTTTGAAATTTGTGAAAGAGTTGATGTTGCTTCTTGCAGTTTCGCATTCTGTTCAATATAAATACAATTCACTTTACAGTATACAATTTGTGATGCACAACCTTCTTGTTCTTTTTTTCTATTGTTTATGAATATATCATAAGATATGCTGGTTGATAGGAAGGAGAAGGAAATCACTGACTGATTCAAATTCAGTCACCTTAATTGATTCATTCTTAATACTTTACTTACCTTGGCTTAAATTGTTTATATCTGTGTTAAATTATGAATATTAGAGCAATGAATACCCACTTCTATATGGAAACAAGATTAATATAGATGTCTTCAATTTGGTGTTATTTTATTATGTATTAAGATTTCCAAGCTCTCGGATTTCCTAATATTTGCATTACATGCAAGTACATAGAATAGAATTGTGTGTAGACATAGTCAAGTTAGCTTTAACCACAACTAGCTATCTCATCGAACTTGGTCCTCAGTATGTATGGTGGCATCACCCTGAAACACACATGCATTTACCCTACTTAACATATGCATCAAAACTAAGGCGTTCTATCATACTGCACATTAAAATTCTCTAAAACGCCCAATGGAACAGTACCTTATCGAAACCATTAAATCATAAACTAAAATCTGTAATGTGTTTACACTCTTATTAGCAATCCTCCAAGGTACAAACTCACGTATCAATCATACCAACACTACGAATGAAACGGATAGAAACTTACCGATCAATGCATAAACAGCCAAATAGACATGAAAACATACTATTTTCTTAAACTTTTTAACAAGCCGATTACGCATTTCGATATTTTAATAAACAAAAACTTAGAACGAGTTAATCAACCAACTTTATACCGTGGAATCATCTGGAGACACCGGTCTGCCGATAGCGGTGGAAAGGAGAAGATGGACCTTTGGTGACGGCAGTTCCATTGGCAATGTCTGATAGACGGAGAGGAGCTCCAATCTGCAACGAATTGCAGAAAGGGTGTCGAATTCATTCAAATGCGGAAGAGAATGAAGATAAATCGGTGCCTGGGGATTAAAACCCTAGGTTGAGAATTGGGCGCAGTGCTGCTCTGGGCCTCTGGCTTACGAAAATTTATACGAGAGATTGTCAACGGCCAAGTGTGTTTGCTTGCGTGGATTTCAGCGTGAGTTGTATTTAGAAAAGGTAAAAAGTGACGCGACAACGACACGTGGATCTTATGACGTACCTTTCCTGTAGCCACTTTCAAAGCTCATTTTCTAAAAAATAGTCAATTATCTTATAGATATTCACATGCCTACACTTATCTGTTGGTATCATAGTATTTGCTAGTATTTTATTATATTGTAGCATAATAGCATTCTTAGCAATGTTGGGTTTTTTTTAGTTTAACATGTCTAATATAAAACGTAGGAGTGATCATGTATCAATTTAATAGGTTTGATTTTAAAAGGAAAAATTTTTAAAAATAATTAAATACCAACAGCCAATTACAATACTTATTTTCAACTTTTTCTTTCCTGTCTCCTCTCGCTACCATATTTGCGACTTCTTTTTGGTGGGTTGCTTAGGACAAGGTAGGGGATGGTGTGTAACACTCTTAGCATCCTTTAGCATCTCTCACTCTATATAGTCTTAATTAAAATGGATAATTATCATGATTACTTGTATCATAAAATCTATGTTTTATATTTAATTTCAAGTAGTCGTCATTCTTAAACCTTGATATTACTTTTAGACAAAATTACATGTTAGTCTCTAACATTAAGGTTATATTGCACGTTCAATTCGAATATAAGCATTGTATTTATTACAACATTGGGCCTTATTCATTTGTTTTCACTTTGTTATCATATTTCGTTTATGTTGGTGATTATAAGTATCAGGTACATTATTTAATAAGTAGCAAAATAATCAAAAATTTTACCTAAGGGCACATACATCCTAGAATCTAGGTTTTACCAGTTATAACAATATACTTTAAAAATCAACAAAAGAAAAAAAGCAACTAACCTCTAGATTGCTTGTTTGTGATCTTGTGTGTGTCAGCTCGTTGCAAGGATGAATGATCCATCATAGCACCCCTATAATGGAATCAGACCCACAATACCAAAAGCAAAAGGAAGACACCCAATAGTTAGGGTTTATTCAAAAAGCACCAACCCTATGAGAGATGTTATTTTCTTCCAAGAAGAGAGAGAGAGAGAGAGAGAGAGAGAGAGAGAGAGAGAGAGAGAGAGAGAGAGTAGGGACGATTTTAGGAATAGGAATAAGCAACTCTAAGATTTACCCCTAACAATCTATTTATATGGTACAAATAGAATCCTAAAAGGAATTCAAAATCTAGGGTTTATCCTTTTCTGATTCAAATCAATCTTATCCCTACCAAAAGGACAGTCAAAATCGTCTATCTCTTAGTCTCCAATACTTCTGGAACACTCCAATTAATCCATTTGATTAATTAATATTCGAGTGTAACATCCATTCCCAGTACATAATTTAATTTGGCTTTTAAACTGTTAAATTTGTTAAATTTTGAAAAGTTGAGAATTTATTTGGTGGGCACGGGGCACTTCTTTAATAGGTGCGACAAGCTAAACCCATGGGTTGAACAAGTTTATTAGCTTTTTAGGGGATTTAAAGGGGATTAACCCCTAAGGTTTGGTCATTCTCATGCCCATGACCTTTTGAGCGATTTTTCAAAAACCTTAACCATCTCTCTTATTTTGAGCTTTAAATCTCTTTTGGAAGCTTATTTCTCTTTGATTTGGTGTGAAGCTTGAAGAATAAGGTGTTTGTAAAGTGTTTTGATGAAGGGCTCAAGTGTAGATCCAACAAAGTTATTTCATTTTTGGACCATTGTGAATAAAAGGCATCTAACTTGCTCATTGGTTTCATAGTTATTTCATTTTTGGACCATTGTGAGTAAAAGGCATCTTATTGTTTTTCATATTTGTCATTTTTTGGTCCTTTTAATCTTGTGTTTTGGTGTTGAGACTAATAAATCACCTTTTGAACACTATGGAACACTCCTTGGATTCATTAGACTATGAAAGTTATGTCATGCAAGTTACATGGGTGATTTAGGTCATTTTGAGTTTTAAATTCTATATCTTGTAAGTTTTGGGATGACTCAATGGATAAAGTTTAACTTTATCCATTTAAACGTTGTTATAGCCCAGATCTAAAAGATGGAGTTCTGACTTAACAGATTAAGTCGAATTAGCTTGTGAAATAAGCCTGAGTGTGGTGCACTTTTAAGGTTTTCTCAATTACGCTTGTCAATGATCCTGACTCTTTTGTCCAGAATGTTGACTTGTTGACTTTTTTATTAAGTTTAACATTGGTTCAAACTTTAGAGTTTAAGTTCATAGACTGATATTTAACCTTTTATGAATATTTTAAAGGTTTGTAATACCAACTTTACGTTTCCTGCAAGCTGTGGTGTTTGTCTGGTTTACTGTGAGGTGAGTCTTCGCACTATACTATGTAGGACGTTAGATGTTTGTCATCTTTATGACTCTTGCATGGTTGTTTGTATGTATGTTAAGTGAGGCCCACTATTATGTTTATTAGACGAGAACCATGGGCGAGGCCCGTTTATGAGTTTATTGGGTGATACCCGTAGGCGAGGCCGTTTATATGTTCATTGGGCGTAGCCCGTTATGGTATGTGGTATCTAGGGAACTCACTAAGTTTTGTGCTTAATGTTTAAATTTAAATGGTTAAATTACTTCTGGTAGCAAAGAAAAGAGCCCAACCGAATTGCATGATTGCATCGCATCCACCAGGGATTCCGCATTATCTGTTTTTATGTTTTTACTTGGATGTTTATTGAGACTATATTTTATTCTGATTAAAACCCAACATACATAAAGGCATTTTGGTTTTTTCACACATTCATCGATATATATATATATATATATATATATATATATATATATATATATATATATATATATATATATATATGTATGTATATATATATATATATACTAGCCGTCTACCCGCGCAAAGCGGCGGGGCACGTGAGTTCTTTCGGTGATATGTTTCCATTACAAAATTGTTATGTTAAAAAAAAGTACATGTTGAAGACAATATAATCAAACTATGGTGTTATTTGTTACATCATGCATCAAATAACCAATAAAAAGCAACCAGTCAAGACGACACAAAATATTAATCGTGCAATACTTCTTTATACACCACATTTGCTGTATAAACCCCATCACCTTTTGAATTTTCGTTAGGCTTTACTAATACTTTTGTATTGCAACGTGAAACCCCTCTGGACAATGCAACATAAAGTTGTCCATGCGAGAATACTGGTTCTGGAAGATAGATACCTACATATGGAATTGTTTGTCCCTGAGCTTTATTGATTGTCATTGCAAAGCACAATCGAATAGGAAACTGTTTCCTCATTAGAGGATCGATGGTTGCTACTAATTGCTTGTAACTGGTATTGGTTTCATATCGATGGATGTGGATTCGCATATGAAATCAATTGTGTTCGCATCTATGAAATCAGTTCGCATATGACATCAATTGAGTTCGCATTTGGTTTTGTGGGTCAAAACAGTTCGCATAAGAAGTTCACGATTTGTTTGAGGTTAATTGATTTTGATTTCGCAAGCTTGGAGTCGGAGATCTGGATTGTGTTCGCATCTATAGAATGCGAGGAGAATTTAATGGTGATATTCAGTTCGCATTTGGTGACACAAGTACGTGGTTGATGATTTTTGGTTGGTTCGCATTTGAAATTAGTGGGTTTCGCATTTGGCTTCGTATCTGGGTTTCTCAAACAACTGAAATGCGAATATGAGACAATTGATTAATTTCTCAGTTAATGCGATGAAATGCGAATGAACTCAAAGACGGATGGATGCAAGATGCGAAGAATTTGAATGAAAATGCGAAGTTTTTAATGTATAAATGCGAATTGGGGAAGAAAGCTTAGAGTTTCGCATTTGGCACCTGATCTTTTCAAGAAATAATATAAGTGGTCCAACTTCGCAAAATGGGGTCATTTAATCAGAAAATCGATCATTCTTCAAATATGACATTTAATCAGAAAATCGATCTAAAAATGAGACATTTGGTGTTTATCGATTTTTCAGGGTCGACGGGTTGTATGAAAAGCGAAGGCTGAGTAATTGAAAATTAGAGGATCGATGGTTGTTGCTACTAATTGCTTGTAACTGGTATTGGTTTCATATCGATGGATGTGGATTCGCATATGAAATCAATTGTGTTCGCATCTATGAAATCAGTTCGCATATGACATCAATTGAGTTCGCATTTGGTTTTGTGGGTCAAAACAGTTCGCATAAGAAGTTCACGATTTGTTTGAGGTTAATTGATTTTGATTTCGCAAGCTTGGAGTCGGAGATCTGGATTGTGTTCGCATCTATGGAATGCGAGGAGAATTTAATGGTGATATTCAGTTCGCATTTGGTGACACAAGTACGTGGTTGATGATTTTTGGTTGGTTCGCATTTGAAATCAGTGGGTTTCGCATTTGGGTTCGTATCTGGGTTTCTCAAACAACTGAAATGCGAATATGAGACAACTGATTAATTTCTCAGTTAATGCGATGAAATGCGAATGAACTCAAAGACGGATGGATGCAAGATGCGAAGAATTTGAATGAAAATGCGAAGTTTTTAATGTATAAATGCGAATTGGGGAAGAAAGCTTAGAGTTTCGCATTTGGCACCTGATCTTTTCAAGAAATAATATAAGTGGTCCAACTTCGCAAAATGGGGTCATAAAAAGACAAAAGTGCAGAATTTTCATTTCGCATCCCTGTAGTCTTCGCAAAATGGAAAATTTTACCCAGTTTCGCATTTGGGGTAAATTTTTTTGAGAAATTGGAATATTTTCAAACTTTTTTTCTTAAAAAAAACACATTGTCTTCGTCTAAGAGAGGGAGAAAAACGATTAGGGTTTATAAGGGAAATACTTCATGGCAGTGGGATTTATAGCAGGGTTTATAAGGTGGAGAGAACAAACACACGTCTGCTATGAGATATTTTAATCAGCTGCAAATGCAACATTTAAAGGATATTTGTTGAAGCGTATTAGGATGAAAAGGTTTTAAATTTTGAATGACCATGAAATTAGGATTTTGCTGAGAAATATAAGGAATCAAAACAAATTTAAAATTTAATATTATTTTATTAATGGTTGTTTGTAATATTAGCTTAATCGTTTGTACGTCTTAAAAAAATAATATTATTATATTCAATCTATTTATAGAAATAGTTAGATTTCTTTTATAAGTAGTAAAGATATATATATATATATATATATATATATATATATATATATATATATATATATATATATAGTCAAGATCAAATAAGAAGGAAATTTTTGGTAGGAAGGTAAGAAGTTTTTTTTCTACATATTTTTTTCGCGAACAAACAAAATGAATCATTAGATGATTTGTTTGTAAGGTGATTCACAAGAAAAAATTCTCAAAAAACATCTAGATTATTCATTTATATAATGATTTTGTTGTTATTCACTAAAATTGTCATAAAAGTGAATTTTTTTCTTAATTTACTTAAAAATGAATCATAAAGATGTTTTTTTGAGAATTTTTTCTTGTGAATCATCTTACAAATGAATCATCTAGTGATTCATTTTTTTTGTTCGTCAAAAAACTATGTAGAAAAAAAAAACTTCTTACTTTCCTACCAAAAAAAATTTCTTACCGGATCTCTCTCTCTCTCTCTATATATATATATATATATATATATATATATATATATATATATATATATATATATATATATATATATATATATATATATATATACACACACACACACCTTTCTCTCCATTATTTTATCTACACATGCACATGAAATTCTTTGAATTGATCATACAAACTACAAAGAACTTTGACAATATTATAGGTTTTTGTGAATTGTCATGTTTCTGCCACGACTTAGAAGTGAATTGGCATACATGAATTAGAGGCTTAGAGTTTCACATGATGGCAACTATATTACTTGGGTACTTGTGATTGCAAGTAACCTACGTATTATAGTATTTTACGTGGGTACTTTTGAATGCAATCATTTGATACACCATACTCACATTTTGAAAATTGTGCAATAAAACATAAACGTTGGGGACAAAACACGTAGTTTGTCTTCATTTTAATTGCAAGACAACAACAATTACAACGCATCACTGTCTTTCAAGAAGTTATAGAATTAAAAATCAATTCAAAAATAAAAAACTTAATAAAATAGAGTATGCAATAAACATGCAACTATTTTCAATGTCCCAAGTCAATCTCATATTCTCAACTTACCAAAAATAGTTACAATCGACATTTGTAAAATTACAACAAATAGCTACAGTTGGCATTTGTAAAGTTAGTAGAAAACACACTTGACACTCCACCCCTACGAACTTATATGAATGTGTCACATTCATTTGTCCAAAGTTAGGTTCTATGGCGCCACCCCTAGAACCACACAAAGGGTTGCAAGTCCCTTATGTGTTAAATTTCTTAAATGGTCTTACGATTAGAAATTAGTTGGTATCATCTTTAATGCTAACCATGAGAAAAAAATCCAAACTAATCATCATTTTGAGATGTAAAGCATAAAAATTGAGTTTATGAAATGATATCTTTAATCCATGATGTGTTGATGTTAATTATGATATAAAAATGTTGGTTAATGGTTAAATAAGTTTAGAATGTATCTTGGTCAATAAAAGATATTAAATTGGTGTTTGAGGTATTAAGATGCATTCTAAACATAATTAACCATGAATTGACATCCTTGTATCGTAATTAACATCAAAGAGATCATTTAGAAAAACTTCATTTTTATGCTTTAAAACTTAAAATGATCATTAGTTTTATTTTTCTTCCATTATTACATCAAGGATGATACTTCCATTATTACATCAAGGATGATATTGATCATACTATTACCATTTTAACATTATTCAAATGATGATCAACTACTTATGTGAAGTTTTAATCAAAATCTAGCTCAAATCCACTTTCTTTGTTTGATAAATCCTTATTTGTTTTGTTGAAGGAACTAGTAATCATATTGGGTTTAACAACTTGAAAGCATGATACCAATTAATGATTATTTACTAAATCATCAATTTATCATTTCAAATGTTTTAAATCCACATTGAAACCTAAAGACTCCTTTAAAATTGAGAAATTCATTTTAGACTTAGGTGTTGTTTGTTTTTTGGAAAAAAACCTCTTCAAACCTCTTACTGCTGCGCGGCGCAGCACACGCGCATCACTTTTCATCTCGCAGCTGTTTGTTTTTTAGAAGTCTTTTGAGTCAAAAACCTCTGCGCAGGCTCTGTTTGGCGCAGCACTTGTACTGCCTCTTCTATCCTCTTCTTCTTCTTTTTTTATTGCTGAAATTTTGATTATATGTTATTAAAATTTTATTTCACATTTTTTTTTTCCGTTTTTTTCGTTTATTCTTATTGAATTTATTTTTCATTTTTTTATATTCAATAATGATAATTTCTTGATGAAATATCATTATTTTTTACTAAAATATCTTTATTTTTTTGTTGAAATAGCATTCTTTTTTACTGAAATAGCATTAATTTTTACCGAAATGTTATACATTATTAAATTTTACGTATTAAAAAGCTATTTTCGGTTTATAAAATTAGTTTATTTTAATTTTTTAATATCTGCAGCAGTATGCAGATGTTGAAAAAACAAACACGCTTCTTATTATAGTCTACAGCCGTTTGGTCCACCTCTTCTACTGCAGAGGGTTGCAGAGGTGGTCCGTAGACTTCATGAATTTTTGCTTCAGAAAATCAAACAGCACCTTAGATTGAAATTTTGATATCATGATTTAAAACCTTGAATCTCTAAAACATGATTATGTATCCTGAATATATAGGTCACTCTATCTGCATCACTTTTATGTCACATCATACTATTTATCTAGAAAATGGTCATCACACCACACAAAATAAATATCATGTTAAATGGTCAAAAGATTATTTATTTATTTATTTATTTATTTATTTATTTATTTATTTATTATTATTATTATTATATATATATATATATATATATATATATATATATATATATATATTTTAAAGTTATGAAAAATAGTAACTGGTAAACTACATTAAAAGTTGGCAGAATTGGTCCTTGTTTATTATGTGACAGAAGTGGTCCGCTTCTTTTATTGAATTACAATTTGGTCCCTTAATAATGTAATTAATATATATAAGTTTAATGGGTTATCGATCCATTCCACTGCTTTGACGGCTTCATTAGAATTAAGCTGTCTTACTTGCTACGTGTTGTTTCCCTGTTTGCTGTCAGATTTAGTTTTCATTCTACTATCACGCGTGTACGTTATCCTTCTCCACCGATTCCTATTCTCCCAAAAATCCACCGCATCCCATTCTCTCATCCACTTTATCCGTCTGCTTTCTTTTCATTCACACCGGCGAATCCTTCCCTACCGCATCATTTCTCAGTCTTTCAACTCCATCCAAATATCAAAGATCTTTCAACTCCATCCAAATATCAAAGATGGTGGGCAGCAAGCCGATTTCTTATTTCGGTCATTCTTTGGTTGTGCTATTCATCATCAGAAATCGATTAAGAGATAGACAAATAATATTTTCTCCAATTTCTATTCACCATGACCCATACAATCGAACGCTACTGACTCCCCCTTATCAGATTCTCCTCACCGCCTCCCTTATCCGATATATCCATTTGTGGCGAACCGGCCTCATTTCCTCTGCACTTTCTACTCTGTCGCAACAACGCAACGAGGACACAAGTAACTTTTTTATTTTACAAATTAGAGGTTCAATTATTTGTTTTCTTTTTTGGGTTAATTTTGTTTGTAGATCAATTTTACAACTTCAAAGGCGGGAGGATTTGAATGGGTTAGTTTGAGACGTTGGGTACAGGTTTAGGAAGTGGAAAGACTCAACAAGATTACTACTTTTGGATGAGAAACATGCCTACAAGGCGTTCGATGAAATGCCTGATCCGATTAAGGTATTAATTCCAGGTTAGTTTACCTAATTCATTAGTTGATTATAATCGTTTGATTATCCATTTTAAATGAATGAGGTATCCATTGCACCTATTAAAAGTCCCAACTAAATTTACTTTTATGCCCCTATGTTTATGGATATTGAATTATGGAATGTTTTGAATCGTGTTTGTGAATGAACACAATCGTCATCATGTAATTTTGTTTGGGGGGAGACGGAAGGCGATGGAAGACAAGGAAGAGTGTAGGAGCAGGTTGATTCCATAATTTGTATTTCAATTTCACAGTTTTAGTGTTTGTAACTCTTATTCATTTTGTTCTTTATTCTTTTTAAGTTTTGAACACCAACTACTTGACAAAAATCCTCAACGAAAAATCCGTTCAAGATTGTCTTTCTACTTGGTAAACTATATGATCGATCTCTTCTTTTACACCAAATTACAATTCTACCCTTCATAAGTTTTTCATTAAATGATACACTTGCAACTGCTAAAAACCCCACTTCAAATCACAAGGAATAATTGATTAAGCTACTTCCATTAATTTCTTTTTTTCTTTTTTTGTATTCATGTTGTAAATTTTTTTTTTCTTGCAGCTTCATAAATATTTTCTTAATGTGAGAGAATATAGTGACAAACTTAAAAGGTGTGAAGACCAACTCCAGGTTAGTCTCTTTATTATTATTGTTTTTTCTACTTAATGCAAACAGAACAACGCTATAGTTTTAAATGAGTTTTTCCTGTTTTCATGTTTATAAACGCTTTAATGAAATCTTTAATAGACTCTCTATGTATATATGTGTATGCATGTTTGTGACTTTTTTCCTTATGAAATTAGTGTTATCTTTTTGTTTTCTTGTTTTCATTTATATAAATAATAATTTTGTTATAAATGTTAGAAATTCTTAATTTTGTTTATTTTTAGACCAAAAAATAGAGAAACAATCTGAAGAATTGAGGGGCATATGAGGTAGATACGAGCATGATTAGAAAGTTTGGGTGGCTGCAGTCAAGGAAGTAGGTATTGAAACCAAACCACTCTCAGATCTCTCTTCAAGCACACCAATGTGTGTTGACTCAGTTCCTTCCTGATCTCAATAACATGGTTTCTACAGTTCAAGCAATGGGTGGGTAAATTAGTAAATTCATGATTAACTTTTCACCCTATTGTAAATTTTAACATTTTCTATCATTACTTTTAGTTGCACAGTGTGAGCATCTTAAAGTCAAATACAACAAAGAACAAATCAAGGGAAAAAAGCTTCATAATCAATTTGAGGATATAAAAGGCTTGCAAACTTTTTTTTTAACAAACATATAAAGTTTCTAACTTTCTATAAATACTACTTTATTTTTATTTTTTTATAGTTTCAGGAAACATGGTCAACCATGTTTGACTTTGATTCATCATCAAACAGACAATGCTTCACCATTGGTGGCTTCACTTTTCAATGTATACGACAAAGACAAGAAAGACATATACCATGGAGGGTATTGAGGGAAATTGAGTGGTTAGTTACAGCACAGTAGAGGAATTATTCAAAATTGCAAAAGAAAGAATTGATACTTTTGCTTAGCAGTGGAACCTACAAATGATTACGCACAAGATTCACCATCAAAGTTGTCTTCTCCTGGGATAACTACATGGGCCAAAAGTCTGAAACTTCCACAACATTTAGGAGGCACACAAGATGAATCTTCTTCATCTGAAAACACTCCAACAATGATAATGTGCATGGACGTTTCATCTTCAGGAAAGTTGCCAAGTCCGGGGTGATATATTGCTAAAGATTTATGTAGTATTTATTTGGCAAAAGAGCAGTTTTCCCTTCCAATATATAAATGAATAAACTATGTCGTTTAATCTAAATCCGACCCCCGCAATGGCGGGGGCACTTTTCTAGTTTATTATTACTTTTTAAATACCTTTTGAGACGCGTCGAGCAAACAACAAAAAATAATGTTGCGTTTTAAGATGGCGATATTTCAATTGGCTTCATGCTGTTGAGGAGGGCCAAATAGCCTAATTGATGATTAATTGCTAAATCAAAAATATAGTCTAAACTCCTAATAGAACTAATCATCAGTTCCATCATTAAAATGTTTTAAATCCTCATTGAAGCTTAAAAACTTCAAAGCTTGAGAAATTCATTCTGACTTATAAATATTTAATTAATTAATTTAGAAAAAAAAAAAAAAAAAAAAAAAAAAAAAAAACCTTTAGAAAAAGTTGACTATGCCTTATTTAAAACGTGAATGAGCAATGGATAATGAAGTCCTTCCCTTTTAATCATGTCATCCCCTTTCTTCCCTCCAAACCCCAAAACTCCCATCCTTCCGGTCGCCTGAATTTTACGACACTCTCCTCATCGGCCTGTTTCTGTTCCGGCGGATATCACGTAACTTTCTCGTCCGAAGTTCGTTTCTGTAAATATTCAAAACTCTAAATCTCTTTCAATTCGTTGTTTCCTGAAACTTTCGAAAGTTGACATATGAACCCTAATTAGTACAACGAACACGAAAGTTAAATATCGTAATGGGTACTGAATATGCAGTTTGATTATTTTGTTGTTAATTGTCCCTAATTGTCGTAAATGCTTGAAGAAACTAGAAATTAAACATCATCTTCATTTTGTTATTCTAGGGTTACTTATCGATTGCTAAAACTTAAAACCCTAATTTTAGACATAGGTTGGAGACTTATGATAACATTTAATCAAATTTGAATCGCCTATAGAACGCTCTATTCATAATTAGAAGTGGTTCTGTTCAATGACAGTGTATTTTATCAATTGCCCAGGTTGGAAGAAAACGAAATCAATGGTTTTCACATCATCCTATACTCAAATGGTAAACCACATTTGTTGCATTTCTACAACTTATACAAAATCTTACTCTCCATAACTTGACACTGACAATTTTTTTTTAAAAATTTGTTGCTATCTTCTATTAAAGGGACTTTTTTGCTCTCCATATAAAGATCTGGTCAGAAAGCACCCTAGACATGGTAAGTGATCTTTCAGTGATAGTTTTATGACATTTTGAAATTACATAACCAGTTTCCTCTTGATATTTTATGCAGATGGTATTCAGAACTGTGTTATCTTTAGTAGACAAAAATACCCCTCCACATCTCAATGCTTTTTTCACCCACAAAAAAGATTAATTGGCATGTATAATCAAAACTATAAATGGCATATCCAGGATAAAAGATTGAAATCAATAGTTGTTAGATCTGAAATTGCTGGAACTGGTTCACCTGGATCTTCATATTCATATCAATTATCAGGTTATAATCATCCCAATTTCTTAATTTCTATGAGTAGTTCTATTTCTTTATAAATTTAACATTTTATATCAACCCAATTGTTTTATTTTTCAAGTGCAGAGTTCAATTTGGGCTCAAAACTCAGAGGAATATGCTTTTACAGTGTTACATCCTTCATTGCCATATTTCTGTTTATGATCATGTTAATAGCACATCCATTTGTGCTCTTCAGAGATCAATACCAAAGAAAGTTTCATAATTTTATTGCTAAAATCTGGGCTTCTATGACAATCACTCCATTTTTTAGACTAAAAATTCAAGGTTCCGAAAATCTACCCCCACAAAACTCTCCAGCTATTTACGTGTCTAACCACCAAAGTTTTTTGGACATATATACCCTTCTGACTCTTGGAAGAAACTTCAAATTCGTAAGCAAGACTGCAATTTTCCTCTTCCCTGTTGTTGGGTGGGCCATGTTCTTGATGGGAACAATTCCTCTTAATCGTATGGACAGAAAAAGTCAACTGGTATTGTATTTGACTTCATCCCATTTCTTTTTGCAATTTTGTATAAAGTTTGACTCTGGTTTTAATGAATTGTGTTTTGTTTTCTACTTTTCTTGGATTTTGTTATTATGATAGCAAACACTAAAAAGATGCATGGAACTTGTGAAAAATGGTGGATCTGTTTTCTTTTTTCCAGAGGGGACAAGAAGTAAGGATGGAAGTTTAGGCACATTCAAGGTGAGATTTTCTCATCTTTGTTTTTGTTACAATGATATGTTGTTGAAATTATTAAAGTTAATTTATTTATTTATTTAATTGCAGAAAGGAGCATTTAGTATTGCTGCAAAAACAGGAGTACCAGTGGTTCCAATTACTCTAATGGGAACAGGTAAAATCATGCCTTCAGGGATGGAGGGAACAGTGAATAAGGGAATGGTAAAAGTTGTGATTCATGAGCCTGTTAAAGGAGATGATGCTGATTTACTATGTACTCGTGTTAGAAACATGATTGCAGATGAGCTTATTCGCAATTGTTGAGACTTGAGGATTATCATCGTGTATGCTAACAAATTTTGTTAGGTTTAATGGTTGTGATGTTAGGTGACGTAAAACATTTTGGATACTTGATTTGCTTGTAAAATTCTCCCTTGAATCGTTCTTTTTTTAACGTGTAGATCTCGTTATACACAAATAATGATGACAAAATCGAAGAGAATATGTTTATGTTTACATATCGGTCTTGGTTCTTGAATTTATCTCTTTTTTTTTTTAACGTATAGATCTCATTATATGTGTGTGTAAGAGAGGAGAGAAAGTGTAGAGTTCAATGGGGCTTCAACTTCTGGTTCTATTAAGTGTCATGTCAGTAACCTGTAATAAGGATTTTGAATTTAATGAGATTTAACTCTCCATTAAACTATGAGTGAAGATGGCCAAAGAGGGAATTATTGACCCAAATGGCAAAAGCAAGCAAGATAATCACTCTCTGCTTGCCTATTATAGGCTAGACATTAGTTTGAGTTAAAAATGCAATATTTTAGTTATAAACACTATTTAAAAGGAAAAATGACAAATATAGCCATTTCCTACGTATTTTTTTTGCCAAAATATTAGCATTTCCGAAAATGACCAGAGTTTGCAAAAGGTTTTGCGTACTCAACATGCTCTCTATGGATTTAACATATATTTAAAGGGTCAAATTTCAAATTTTCGTTTTTCTGTTTGTAAAAGAAGAACGAGCTCGCGAAAGCTTCTTTGCAAACTCACTTTTGGAAGATCGAATTTGTAAAGTCAAATCCTAAAAAACGAGTGCACAAAGATATGAGCTGACTTTAGTATTTGCACTCATGGAGAATTACCAAAATATAATTATATTTCAAGTAATGTCAGTCCATATAGGCCCTCAGCAGGCTCAATGACTATTTTTGAAAATTTATTTTTCTTTTGGAAAGTTGGATTTAAAAATTGTTAAATCTATAAAAAAAAAATTCTATTTAAGAAAATTAAAGAATTTAATAAAATCATTATACCCTTTAGTTTTAGTACACATGTAATTTGAAAAGCAATGGACCATTTTTTTATTATAATATATAATTATTATTTTATTTTATTATTATAAAAGCATGTTTTTTATATTTAACTAACTTCTTCATCATAAATATATTTTTATATTTAACTAACTTCAAATTTATTATTTTACAAATTACTTTAATAGAAAAAAATAGTTGAATTATATAAATTTAACTAACTTCTACAGTATAAATATATTTATATATAAATCAACTTACTTATTATATTATACATTAAATGATTAAAAACATATAAAATAGTAGCATTAATATCTTATAATCCAAAACCCGGCTAGAAGACAACAAAATCAAAAGCAAACCCCATTTCCATTTCTTCTAATCATATTTACACAAACACAAGAACAAAGTCCTTCCCTCAACCTCAACCTCACACCATTATTTCCAAATAAAACCAAACAACCAAAAAGCTCACAACCCAACCCATCACTTATCACTTATTACTTATCACCACTACTTACTACTTACTACTAAAGCTTTTTTTCCTCCCAAACAATCTCCTCAAAATCCCACCACCACCACCACCACTTTTCTTCTTATTTGTCACAATCGACAAAAAGTTCACCAAAGCTTCTTCATCCTTCTCATCTTTCACTCCATCAACACTCACAAACATCCTCGGAGACATCACACCAACATTCCCAATGTTGCTGTTCAAACTCAAATTACTATCCAACCCTTTGCTCTTTTGACTCCTCAAAGCTCCCGTTGCATCCTCCGTTATCATTTTATCAAGCAGAGAGATCCGCTGGTTACTGTTTCGTTTTGGCGAAGGCAAGGGCGATACCGTAATTTCACTCGTCTCTTCTACAGGCGAACCACTTAATGCCTTTAACTGCTTCCCAAGGTTTAGTATCGTTTCTTGACATTCAGCCAGTTTCTCAGAAGCTTCCATTATTTCCTTCTCCTGCATTCATAATTAGATTATTAGATAATTAATTCAACCATATCATAAATCATAAATCATAAATAAATAAATAGCCACTCACACTTGGAAGGGCTTTTTCGTCCTTTTCCTTTTCCAAATCACGTTTTTCTATGTCATTTCCTGTTATCCTGCAATAAAACCAATAGGAGGAATTAGACTTGGAACAAAAATCAAGAATTTTTGTTTTAATTTTTAAATTTTTAAATTTTTAAATAAGAGAATAAAAGTTACCTTTCTTCATTTGGGATTGTATTACTTTCTTTTAATTTATCAACACCACCCACCATTACATTCCAAGAAGCGGCCATTGGCCACCCTGGCAACTGGTCTTTCGGAAAGTCAAACTTATCCGTTTGACCACCAGTGGGCCCACCTTCCACCTCACTCTCAAAATGCTTCTTGATTTCATCTTTCATACTCGAAACATCTTGAAGAGAAAAACAATGGTTGACTATCCACTCAAGGGAGAAAGTCAACTCTTTACAAAACTCCTCCATTCCCACTTTCCCATTTAACAACTCGTTACATTTTTTTAAAAATCCTTCCAAAACATCGCGAATCTCGGATAATTTCCATTGAAATATATGAACAGTGTATGATGTTGATGATGTTGATGATGAAGATGATGATGATGATAAAATATCATCTTTTTTACACAATTTAACACCTTCAATAATCTCAATAAGTCTCTGTATCGATTTATTCACACCAGAATTGTTAAATTCTAGGGTTTCATTTTTTTTCATATCTTCAAGCGCCAATTTTTCCATCTCGACAAAATCATCCATCAAACCGATATCAGAAGCATTAACGGTGTTACAAGATGGGGCCCACGATCCAACCATGCTGACTTTTTCATCGCTACCCATGTCAGATGACGTGGCAGGTATGGCCGTTTGACTTTTTGACTTTTGGTTGAGAAACTCCTTAAGGAGTCTGTTCTCTTCTTCAAACGAACACAACTGTTCAGTCAAGAAGGTGATCTTTGATGCAATTGGAAAAGGGTTTGACTTTCTTCTTGTAAGGTCAACTTCGTTCTTCATCTTTGCCACGTCAGCAGGGCCAGGTAAGCGTTTTTGGAGAAGTGAGCGGAGTCTTTGTGCTTCGGTTTCCAACTGCGCGATCTTTTTGACGCTTCCTAGGTATTGCTTATGTGCCACGTCAGATGTTCTTCGGTTAAATTCTCTCTCTTCGTTTCTGATCTCAAGTTCCTTTTCTAAAACTCGGATTTCATAACTTAAAGAAGCATTTTCTCTCTGAGTTGACTCCAGTTGACCAACAACAGCACTTAAATCATAATCTAATTGAGCTCTAACAGAGTGTAGTTCGTTAATTAGCTTTTCCTTTGATGAAAGAGAGTAAATTAATTGACTGTTTTCCAATTCAAGTTTTGAAACTTTTTTATTTAATTCAGCTATCTTTTTTTCATGTTCATTTGATGTTTTCATTAAATCATCATGTATCTTTTTTTCCTGTTCTTCACGAACAAAACGAAGCTGAAGCATACACTCATTTAATGCTTCTCTTTGTTGTGTAGCTTTCTCTAGTTCTTGTTTTAGTGCTAAAACTTCTGATTCAGCTTTCTCCCATCCTGTATAATTAAAATCATGGAAATAAGATTATAAATAAAGTAGAATTTAGAAATTACAAGTCACCACCTTTAACAGCTGAAAGATTTTCATCTTGAAGCTTCAAAGTTGTCTGTGGTTCCACTGTATTAGTTAAATTTGTCTGAAATTAAACATGGTTAATAGGAAAAGTATCAATAGAATATTAGAATATGAACATGTAAAAGCAGAAATACTTTTGAAGGGCATGGGGTAAAAAGAAAAGTATATGCTTTTATTTTATGTTACCTCATCTTCACTCTCTACGTTTACTCTGTCAACTGGAATCATTGTTTTCTCTGTAGATGTTTTCTTCCAAGGCCATGATTTGTGGTCCATTACTTGAGAAATCCCTTTGGTCAAAAGTTCATAAGTAACTTAAATCACATACAATCTGCAACAATCAAGAAAAAGATGACATAAATGAAGGTATAATCAAGATTCTAACATGACATGTACACATGATAAATAAAGGAAATGAAGGGTGAGGGGAAAAAGTTTCTAAATAAACAGGTGAACCCAGATTCAGATAGCAATGTCTTATCTAATTACCTTCTTTGGTAACTTTCCTTTAGTGTAATAAAAGCCCCACATGAACAACAGACTACTTGGTAATTGGTATCTTCCATGAAATTTCATTCAATGAAACAACCTAATTTCCTCTATTAAAACATCTGGAGAATAGGATTACAGAACCATTGATTTAATTAACCCAATTTTAGGGACCTAATTTGGTATAAACGAAAGCGTACAAGAAGGGGATAGGGGTTTCTCCTTTTGTAAATCGACATTTCAAGTCAAATCGGTCAATAATGGTGAAGATTCTGAGATTTGAAGAGTTTTTTTCAGAATATAACATCCAAAAATTAACATACCTCACCGTGCATGCATTTCGGAACGCTTTTAAAGCTAAATCATTTGAGATTGAAGCAGATGAGGTGAAATCAGTACATATCACTAGCAGGAGGAGCTTCGATTCTATTGCACAGGCCATTGAAACAAGGCAACAAGCAAAAATTAGGTTTCAATTGACACTCAAAACCTTCAACAGTATATTCACAGACAGATATGAGTACATGGCTACAAACAAAACAATATATAGTGATAATAATCAAACAAATGCGACAAAACGCTATGGAACAATTCATGTTCATACCAAACAGAGAAAAACAAAACAGAACGGCGACTTAAATCGATTTTTTAAATAAAAAATTAGATTAAAGCCATTAATGAACTACTGAAACAAAACAGAACTATAATAATAGCTGAAAAATACAGTAACAAGTACATACCTGAAAAAAGTAAAGTAGAAGCATTCTTGTCGTCGTCTTGCAAAAAAACGAAGCTGAAACTCAAATCTGAAGTATTTTGTAAGAAGAAACAAGTTAAAGAGCAAGTAAAGTGAGCTGATGGTTAAGTATAATGAAGGAGTTCCGATCTTACTGATGAAGCAGCGTCGAAAGGAGCAAAAACTTTGCAGAAAAATGAAAGCAGATGGCAGAAATGGAGGAAGAAAGGCAACACCTGATTTTCAAGAAAGGAAATGGAGGATTACATTACATGTACGGATATAATATTTATGAAAATGAGACAATTATTTAAAGTAGGTTCGCTATTTTTCATACATTTAATTAAATTGTTATCCTATCCGGTTACAATATCATACAATTTATAATTATTTATTGTTGCATAGATTCAAACTCATTGACTAAATTGACCAGATGTTGAATGTCACGATTAAAATAAAAAGAAGTCATCGTAAATATTTGGATACCATTTGTTGATATATGACCTAGTATCTAAACTATATGTTTTTTACTTTTGTAACATTATTTCAATATAATAATATTTTTATTCATTTATTGACCATATTTTTATTAACTTCTATGGCAAAAACTAACATTTTTATTCAAAGTCTAGTAAACCCTAGCTAAAAGAAAACTTGTCATATATCTATTAATGTTTTTTTGACCGAACGGATGCTTTAAAACAAACTAACAATATACTAGAGCAAAATACAGAGTACAAGTATAAAAAAGAAAACTTACACCAATCAAACCAATTTAGACTATTATAATAAAATCTATGTTTAATTCAATTGAACGCACTCAATTGGATGGCATCCGCCGATTTCATAGGAAGACATCTCTTCTTTTTAAACTCCAAATCGTTTCCGGTTCTCCAAATCCACCAAATTAAAGAATATACCAAGGTTAATTTCATCTTTCTCTCTGGTACTTCCTTTGTGTAGACATTTGCAATTCGTTTTGTAACTCCTCTATATCAGAGATAGGGATTCAACGTAAAGCAGCTACGTGAAGAAAACCAATGCCAAACCTGTTTTCCAAAAGAGTATCGAAAAAAGATATTCTTGATCTCTTCCTCATCGGTGTTGCAAAAAGAGCAAACAGTGGTAGGTAAAATAATGCCTTGATCCATGAGATTTTTAGCAACATGGATTTTATTAAGAAGCATCCTCCAAACAAAACAATTTAGTCTAATAGGTATCCAACTAACCCATTTGAAATCCTTAGCGGCAACCTCAAAATTACGTTTATCAGCCATCAACTTTCTCATAGAATGTACCAAGAACAACCCTGAACTATCAAAACTACAGCTCCACTCGTCCGAGATTGAAGAAAATTGTACATATACGAAGACAAAATTCAAAACAACAAGTTTGTTAGCCTCTTTACCTCTCACCGACAATCTTTTCTACACCCCGTGAAAAATAGACAATTCTTCACCCGAAACACGCTCACAGACTTTACAACTCTTTTCTACCTCAATTTTGTATAAATCCGAGAAAATATCTTTAAAAGCTAATGACCCACACCACTTATCTTTTCAGAAATAAGTAATATTTTCGGCCCCCAATTTCCAATCAAAGAAATCTTTAAGAGAGATGTCCCATTCCATGAAATCCCATTTTATTTGAAAAACTCTAAGCCACGTCCCCGGAATACCACACCTAGAAAATGGTTTTCCATCGATACAAGTAAAATTATGTAAAGCTTTTATACAAGCATACCATAGAGTATTACTTTCAACCTTTAATCTCCGCCACCATTTGACAAGTAACGTTCTAAGACATCGAACCCCATGACCACATTTATCCTTAAGCCGAGTAACCACATCCAAATCAACCCAATTAATCTTCTTTTTATTATCAATACCACCCCAAAGAAACTTTCTCCTAATGCTCTCCAAAAGGTCAATAACTTTCATGGGAACTTTTAAATAGAAAATTAATAGAGAGGGAGACTACCTAAGACAAAATTAACAAGGGTAAGAAGCAGCCCAAACGGGAGATTTCTCGCTTTCCAAGTAGATAATTTAACTTTAAATTTCTCTACAGTTGGGTTCCAATTTCTAGAAAGCTTCATATTGGCACCAATAGGAAGCCCAAGGTAAGTAAAGGGAAAACTAGCATGCTCACAACTTAAGACGTTAGCAAACCAGGCAACATCGACACTATCAACCCCAACACCAAAACTTTGCTTTTCACAAGATTTACTTCAAGTCCGGAAGCTAGATAAAAACATCTAAGAATTTTGTTAATATTAATGAAGTTGATCTTGGATCATTCCCCCACAAAGGTAACATCATCCGCATATGTAAGATAAGATAAAAGCTGACCATTGCGAGGTAATGAAATACCTTAAAAGATGTGTCGATCACAAGCTTATTTCAAAAAGACACCTAACCCCTCCATAGAAATTATAAAGAGAAAAGGAGCTAGAGGATCACCTTGCCTAACCCCCCGTTTTATGTCAAACTCCCATGTCGATGAGCCATTCACCAAAATGGAAGCTCTAATCGAAGACATACATCCATTTATCCACTTTCTCCATTTGTCACCAAACTCTATTTGCTCCATAATTGAATCAAGATAGCCACGATTCAAAAAATCAAACACCTTCTCAAAATCAACTTTAAAGATAAGCACCTTATCCTTAGTCTTTTTGGCCCAAGAAATAATTCCATTTAAAAATAGGAGACCATCAAGAATGCTTATCCCCTCAATATAAGACAATTGTTCTTGGCTAATCATCTTACAAATCACCTTCTTTAGTCTTAAGGTAAGAGTCTTGGAAAGAATTTTATACATACAACCGATAAGATTAATCGGGCGATAGTCATTTAATGACGAAGGGTCAAAACTTTTAAGAATGAGCGATATGAAAGAGGTGTCGCAGCCATTACTAATTTTTCTCGTTGCTTCAAATTCCTTCATGTTATTGAAAATATCAACTTTGAACATATCCCAATACTTCTTCAAGAACTTGAAAGTGAGGCCATTAGGCCCCAAGGCTTTATCATTGCTACAACTCTAAATAGCCATCTTAATTTCTTCCATAGCAAAAGGACCTTCTAAATCAGTCCTATCTTCACAAAAAATATCTTTAAACTTATTATTCACTAGTTTCGGTCTCCTTAAATTGCTTTCATCAAATTTAGATGAAAATAACTTCCAAATTTCTTCTTTGATACGATTTGGATCAATCTCTCATTCCATGTCAATATTTAGCCTGTTTACCCTACTCTACTTCTTGTTACCGTTTACAATGCCATGAAAAAATTGTTGTTCTCAACTTTTGTTTCAAGTCAAGTCTTCTAACCTGATCAATCTTAATAATTCTTTTCTTCCACCCTTTCCTTGCCTCCCTTTCCGGAAAAGAGAATTCCCTATGCTCAACTTGCAATTCTAAATCATCAATCTTGGGAATTAGATCCAAGAATTCTTGATTTTCATCCATTCTTGAATCACACCTCTATTTTTTGCTATCATTTTTTATCCCTTAAAACTTTTTGAGAAGCACCAGATCAGTCCTTCCATTAGCAACCACTATGGCCAGCGAGTTAACAACCAACTTTAGAAGCCCATCAAGTAGAAGCCAAGAATTGAAGAATTTAAAAGGAACATGTCCGAAATCTTGAGTATATGTGACCAAAACAATGGGGCAGTGATCAGAATACAACCTCGGTAACATAGTGACAACCGCCAATGACCAATGTGAGAGAAAACAATTATTTGCAAGAAAACAATCAATCTTCCTATGACGCTTTCCACCCGGACTCATCCAAGTAAATTTTCTACCTCCCATATTAAAATCAAAAAGCTCAGAAGGTTTCCATAATCAAATCGCAAGTATTCACGGAAAATCTATCTTCTTTACACCGCACCGCATTGAAATCTCACATAAATAGCGATATACCATTCTTTCTATCCTTTATCTGCTTTAAATCGTGCCATAGATCCAACCGATCATTATTTTTGTTTGGAGCATATACATTTACCAAGTTAACTCTATCTGTAATACCCTTCCAGACACCTG